AATTAATTATTAATTTAGTCTCTTATATATATATATATATATATATATATATTACTTGTATGTTAATAAAAATGTATTTCAATGTATTTATAAAAAATTAAAATTATTTTAATTACTGAATTGATATTTTAAATTTATATTAATATCTTGGATAATTTAATAGTTGGATATATATTTTAAGTTTATATTAGTCATTTTTATATAAAAGTGTAAAAATAAAGTGAACTTATTTTAAAATTTAATTAAACATAATAATATAATATAGTATTACCCATAAATATGTGAAGATTTAGTTAGAAATTAATTTTAAGTTTTATTGTTTTTATTTTAAAAAAATCGTTAAAAAAATTTAAAATAATTAATTAAAGTAAAGAATTTTAATTTAATAAATGTGTTAATATTATTAGAAGAATTAAATTTATATTAATAATTATATAAAATTATAGATATATTAAAATTTAAATTATTGGTAATTTTTTTAATTATTAAGCTAAAATTTGATAATATTAATAAATTAAAAATAATATATATATATATATCACTTTAATTTTTTTAATTAAAATTAATTTCATAAAAAAATTAATATTTTAAAATTAAAATGCAAAAGTATATATATTTATCTTTTATTTAATTATACTTTTACACCTAAAAAAGAAAAAAATAATAAAATTTTCTTTTATTAATCATTTTTATAAAATAAAAAAAATATATAATAATTACTTTTATATAAAAAAAAATTTAACGTTCTTGATTCTTTAACTGATTTGTTTTAAGCTGATACGACAACGTTTATATCAATTAAAACACTTTACAAAAAATCTTCTAAGTTGATTTAATCGATTGTTTCGCGATTCAATCGATTGAAATACTTGCAAAACTTTCTCGTAAAACTTTTCAAGTTATTTTAAGCTGATAAAAATAAGTTTTAATCGATTAAAACGCATGTGCAAAAATTGTTTTAATCGATTGAAACGAGATTTAATCGATTAAAATAGTTCTGATCAGTCATAATCGCATTCTGATCGATCATAATTGAAACGATATAATAGCGGTTCCAGGTTAACCGCTATCTAAGTGAGCTTTTAAGAGCGGTTCTGTGTAATCGCTATCTAAAATGTATCTCGCTTGAGCGACATTCTTCTCGCTCGAGCGAAACGCCCTGCACAAAATTGGCATTCTCGGGTTGTATTTCGCTTGAGCGACTCTAGTATCGCTCGAGCGATATTTGATTCTGATCGATTAGATTTTCGAAATGATCGATCATATTTGATAATTTTTTCAAATAATTAATTATAATCGATTAGTTTTCTAAATTATTGATTAGAATTGATTAGTTTTTCAAATAATAGATTAGAATTGATTAATTTCTGAAATATATACTAAAAAATTATAATTAAAAATATAAATTAGTTAAGAATATTGACTATTGTAAAGATAAAGTAGAACATGGGAGGAGATGAGGATGATAATATAATGATAGAACTTACAAAAATGTAGAATTGAGAAGTTTGAAATAAATAAAATTAAGAAAATAGATATTTAATTACACTTTTAATAAATTTAAGATAATACTAGTTTTGATTTTTATTTTTAAATATTTATTTTAATTATTTAAAACAGAGAAACTATAATTTTAGTTTCTAGCTACTGAATTTAAAGAATTAAATTTATTATTATTTAATCTTTTAATTTGTAGAATTAAACTCAATATAATTGTTAAAAATACTTTGTAGAGGCATTTGAGAAAGCTTTTGTCAAAATACTTTGTTTTTAATTGTTAAAAACATTTGTAGAGGCATTTTGCAAAATCTTTTAAGTGAAGAAACCTCATGCAACAGAAATCTTTTAATTTTAGTATTAAAAATTTAAATTATATTTTATTAAATTAAACTAGTTACAATATATTTTTTTACTTTGAGAATGAACAATATAATTAAACTCAAAATTGACAATATTATAATACATTTTTGAACTCTTTTGGATTAATTTTTTTTCCTAATTTTTGATAAAGTTAATTTTAATATTTAAAAGTATTTAACATTTTGAATTCTGAAAGGTTTTCTCTAATAGCAAATTTAAAAACATAATATTCAAAAAAATAGTTAATATAAGTTTTCATTATGATTGATGAAAAGAAGAACATAATTGAGAAGATATGATAGCGGTTAATGGTTAACTGCTATTAGAAGTGCACTTTTAAGCGGTTCTTGTGGAACCGCTGTCTAAAATGTATTTCGCTTGAGCGACAATATTCTCGCTCGAGCGAAACGCCCCCTGCACAAAATTGGCATTCTCGGGTTGTATTTCGCTTGAGCGACACTATTCTCGCTCGAGCGAAATACGATTCTGATCGATCATAACTTGAAATGATCGATCATAATTGAGAGGATATAATAGCGGTTCCCTTATAACCGCTATCTGAAGTGTATATTAGATAGCAGTTAAGGCTTATACGATATCTGAAGTGTATTTCGCTTGAGCGAGACTACTCTCGCTCAAGCGAAATCCGATTCTGATCGATTATATTTTCAAAATGATCGATCATATTTGATAATTTTTTCAAATAATTAATTATAATCGATTAGTTTTCTAAATTATTGATTAGAATTGATTAGTTTTTCAAATAATAGATTAGAATTGATTAATTTCTAAAATATATACTAAAAAATTATAATTAAAACTATAAATTAGTTAAGAAGATTGACTATTGTAAAGATAAAGTAGAACATGGGAGGAGATGAGGATGATAATATAATGATAGAACTTACAAAAATGTAGAATTGAGAAGTTTGAAACAAATAAAATTAAGAAAATAGATATTTAATTAAACTTTTAATAAATTTAAGATAATACTAGTTTTGATTTTTATTTTTAAATATTTATTTTAATTATTTAAAACAGAGAAACTATAATTTTAGTTTCTAACTATCTGAATTTAAAGAATTAAATTTATTTTTATTTAATCTTTTAATTTTAGTATTAAAATTTTAAATTATATTTTATTAAATTAAAATAATTACAATATATTTTTCTACTTTGAGAATGAACAATATAATTAAACTCAAAATTGACAATATTATAATATATTTTTGAACTCTTTTGGATTAATTTTTTTTCCTAATTTTTGATAAAGTTAATTTTAATATTTAAAAGTATTTAACATTTTGATATAATGAGCATGATAATATAATGATAGAATTTACAAAAATGTAGAATTGAGAAGTTTAAATTTTTTTTTAAGAAAATAGAGATTTAATTATACTTTTAATAAATTTAAGATAATACTAGTTTTTAAACCTTTTTCTAATATTTTTTTTAAAATATAATATCATTTTTAATATTTTATAGATTTTATATTTATATATTTATAAAATTAATTGGATTAAATTTATTATCCTCTCATATATTATTATACATTTAGCGTAATTTTAGTTTATTTAAAAATTAGAATACAAATATACTATACCAATATACCATTATATTATTTTCATTGTATATAAATTACAAAATTAATAATTTGTATACTATACTATACTAACATATTATTTGTATACTATACTAATAGTATAATATACTATATTATAATATTATTTGTATACAAAACTAATATCTTTATATATAAATATATAAATATGGAAAGATATAAATATATGTAAAAATATAAACATATAAATATATATAAATATGTAAAGATATAAACATATATCTTTAATATTTTGTAAATGTAAATATAATTTATATATATTTTTAAATCTTTTTCTAATATTTATTTTTAAAAATATAATATTATTTTTAAAATTTAATATTTTTTTTCAAATATATAAATATATAAAGATATAAATGTATAAGGATATAAATAAATATATAAATATATCAATATATAAATATATCAAAATATAAAAATATCAAAATATAAATATATAAATATATTAATATATAAATATATCAATATATAAATATATAAATATATAAATATATATAAATATATATATATATATATATATATATATATATATATATACAAATATATCAATATATCAATATTATCCCCTCATATATTAATATACATTATGCTATATAAATATATCAATATATAAATATATCAATATTTAAATATATATTAAAATATATAAATATATTTTTATTTATAGATTTTATATTTATATATTTATACGGATATACATTTATTTGTATATAAATATAATTTATTTGTAAGTTATTATTAAAAGATCCTAGTAGCTCAGTGGTTGGAGTTTCAACCTCCAACTCTAAGGTACCGGGTTCGAATCCACTTAAATACGCAAAATATAATATAATTAAGAGATAGGGAAAATAAATAATAGATATAATAAAAATGTAAATAAATAAAAATAATTAAATTTGTTATTGATTAACTTTTTCATTGATTTAATGACTCGATTCCAGATTGGTCACTATTTCGGTCACTATTTTAATTAGTAACCGATTTTGCACATTTAGTGACCGAATTTTCGGTCACTATTTAGTGTTTTTCTTGTAGTGTCTCTTCACAAGTAATGGCTTAAAAAATTTCTCAATCCTTTTTCAGTCTTCATTAGATAGGCAATGATCTTGGATTAAAGTTAACTAAATAAACAAAGCCAAGAAAAACTTATCGTCATAAGTTTTAATTAAATAAAATATATACTAATTACTATTGCAACCAATGTGGTATTGTATAATGTATTGAGAATTACTCTATATCTCATAAATTACTTTTTAATAATCGAATAGTGTAAATAATAATTTATTTTAATCATTAAAATAAAAAACAATAAAAATCGAACTCTTTAAATCTCTATATGTGTATAACCTCTACATTGTTAAGAAATGCAGACTCGTTACTTGTAAACTTTACATCTTCGTAACTTAAAAGAACCAGTTGATATTTGTGAGTTGAATAATCTCTAACAAGCACCATCCAATTAGAAATAACAAATAGACACACTTGCAGAATGCAGAATCAATTGCCATTAAAATACAACAAAATCTTCGTATTTCACATTAATATCCAGAAGATGAAAATCCTTGTTCTTTCCATTTTGTAACCACTGCAAAGTTATTCCACACTCTTCATCTTCCCACACACCAACTGTTACTAGCACTCTCCACACTATATAAACCCCAAGCAAGTTTTCACCAAAACCATCCACACTAAGCAAAAGAGCATACCTTATTTCCATCTAAGGCTAATGGCTTCCACTCACAACCCCTTTGTGCTTGCTGCTATAATGATTACTGCATTAGTTTCACATGCATTTGTGGCTGACTCTAGAGCACTTTCCAATCCTTCTTCCACCCTAAGCCTTGCTTTGAGGTTGAAGCTGGAGGGTGAACCCTCTAACTGTTGGGAATCATTGTGGCATATGCAAGCATGTAGTGGAGAAATCATAATGTTTTTTCTCAATGGTGAGACCTACCTAGGGAAAGCTTGCTGTGAAGCTATTAGGGTGATTGGACATGATTGCTGGCCTAACATTGTTGGTTCTCTAGGGTTCACCTCCGAAGAAACTGATGTGTTGGAGGGATACTGTGATGAGGCTGTTCATTCACCACCACCACCACCATTATCTGTAGATCCTTAAAAGGGTTTGTTAGTATTGTGTCAAATATAACAGTGTCATTTGACATTGATGAATGAATAATAAAAATACATGTTAGTTCCTTTTCTATCAAAGTTGTATGTTGCCACATTTCCTTTCCCTCACTGAGAGAAAGTGTTATTTAAAAGGTGCTGATATGATCTGCACTCTGAATACCAAATGTGTGTTTCTTTGCAGAAACATTTCCCATCTTAATATATTTTAGTTTGACTTGTTTAATCTGTTCAATCTGAAACCTTTTGATTCAATAAATCACATTGTTAATTCAATCATTCAAATCACTGCATGACATAGCAAATACAAGAGTTGCAGTTCCAAATATGCGTTCTCAAACAAAGCTGATATTATTAACACAAACAAAAGCTCGCGTACAAAATGTCTAAACATTTCTTTTTTCATTTTCAATCTTGTTATTTGATATTATCATGCCAGAGAACTACATACAGTGGTTGTACTGTGAGTCTCATAAAACGAAAGAGAGAAATATTAATTTATATTAATTGTAATGTTAAACACTTACTAAGAAGAAATTGAGCATAATCACGTTGTGATCCTATAAACTAAACATAATTTAACCTCTTTGAATTCCACCAAGAAATTGAGATGATTAAGCCACATTTATGGGTTACTTGATAGTAACGACGGTTAAAACTTTTACGTTGAATTTGATTATTTATGAAATTGTTTGGGGTAGAGTTATTGCATTTATGATCATCCGATAGCTTTTTTCATATGATTGGAATATTTATGTAGAGTATTAATTAATATTTTAAACTAAGAGATTATTTAGCTTAAATATATTTTTTATTTTAAAAAATTCAATATCAATTTTAAACATATTTTTTAAAATAAGTTGAAAAAAAAACTGTCTAAGGAAAGAAATATTTTAAAATAAGAGATGATCACTAGTACGAAATCAATTTTAACATCGGTTTTTCCACATCGCTTCTTTAAGAACCGATGTAGAAAGTGAATTCAAGACTTTCAACATCGATTTAGTTAGGAACCGATGTAGAAAACACTTTCTACATCGGTTCCCAGATGAACCGATGTAGTAAACACTTTCTACATCGGTTCTCAGATGAACCGATGTAGAAAGTCTTTTTATAAAATTAAGATAATTGTTACTTGGCAGGATTCAAACCAAGTACCTTAGAATTAGAGACTAATACTCTAACCACTAAACTACTAGGATTTTTCGATAATAACTTATAAATAAATTATATTTATATACAAATAAAAATATATATCCATGTAAATATATAAATATAAAATATATAAATACAAATACAAATATATTTATATATTTATATGTTGGATGTGAGAGTGCGCTCGAGAGTGAAAGTGTGTGTCAAGTGGGTTTCCAAAATTTGATGTCAAATTTGTGAGCAAGTCTCTTTATATGAATTTGTAATTTCATGATAGAATATAATCTTTATAATTTATTTATAATAATATAGAATATAATCTTTATAATTAATTTATATAATGATATAAAATAAAGAAAAAAAATTATTTTATATCATTATATAAATAAATTATAAAGATTATATTTTGTCATTAAGTTATAATCCATATAAAGAGACTCGCTCACAAATTTGACATCAAATTTTGAAAATTCACTGACACACACTTTCATCCTCAAGCGCGTCCTCACATCCAACATATAAATATATAAATATATTTGTATTTGTATTTATATATTTTATATTTATATATTTACATGGATATACATTTTTATTTGTATATAAATATAATTTATGTATAAGTTATTATCGAGAAAATCCTAGTAGCTTAGTGGTTGGAGTATCGACCTCCGACTTTAAGGTATTGGGTTCGAATCTTGTCAGTGACAATTCTTTTAATCAGATAATAATTCAAATTCCTAAAAAATATAAATAATAAAAATATAATATAAAAGGGAGAGGATGGGAGATGAGACCTCTAGATCAATAGATAGGGTAATTAGAGAGGGGTTATGAATAAATAAAATAAATAAAAATATTAGACTTTCTACATTGGTTCCTTACAACCGATGTGGAAAGTCACACTTTCTACATCGGTCGTATCTACATCGGTTCTAGAACCGATGTTAAAAGCCCCTGGGAACCGATGTTAAAAGCCTATTTTGTACTAGTGGATGAAACCTAATTTGATTGACCTGCACAAATCTTGATTTACTGTATGCCTGAACTAAATTGATTTGTAGATATATATTTTTTTCTGGGATACATATTATTTGTAGTTAATGAACAATCGCCATAAGAATAGGAGCTCATTTTTGAATGAGAAGAGCATAGAGAAGCACATTCCAAGTATCAGGAACACCAGCTAGACACCAGTGGCTGCAATCTAAGCCCCTATACCCTCCAAACCCATAAACAGAAGGGTGGCCATCTTTTCTCAGCTGTGAAAGGGTAGCAATGTCCAACAAACTCACTGGCTTTTGCATCGATCTCAACACTTTCTCTAATACCAACTCTGCTGGTTGAGTTCCTCCTGGATACCTGGATCCCAAAATTGGCCTAGTTTGTCCCTCACAAGTGCTTGCTGCAGATGCACCCCACTCATGTCCACTGCAACAATTCAGACACATGTTAACTCCAATTTTACAACATTATATGTTAATTTAGGCTCTCTTTTTTTTTTACCATTCTTGGTCAAAAAAATTTGGATTTACCAAATAGGTTAAAAATTTAATTTTTTTTTTAAAATGGGTTAAATCATGCTAGATAAAAGTGAAATCGTAATTGGGAGTACACTTTAAACTGAAATTGTACTTCAAATTATGATTTTTTTTTTTACATATTTTGTAGTACGAGTTTTTTAATTTTTTTTTTTGAAAAAAATAGATTTTTTTTTTAATTTTTAAATATATTTTTTATTAAATAATTATTTTTAATTAAATTATTAATTTAATAAAAAATAAAAATATTTAAGAAAAATGTATTAAATTTAATTCATTATATTTATATTAAAATATTACATTATTTTAAAAAAGATATAAATTTATTGCCAAAATTGACATTTTGCACAATTATATTTTTTATTTTGACAAAATAAATATTTTTTTTGTTTATTTCCAACGTTCATTCTATTTTGAATCCAATTAGTTATAGATATTCTTGATATATCTTTTGTCAAAATGAAATTGATAACAATAAATTTGTATATTCTTTTAAATAAAATAATATTTTAATATAAATACAATAAATTAAATTTAATCATATTTATTTTAATATTTTTGTTTTCTATTAAATTAATAATTTAATTAAAAATAATTATTTAATAAATAATATATTTTACAAAAAATTCTTATATTTCGACAAAATAAATTATGAGAAACTCGTGTTAGGTAAGACGAGTTTAGGATAGTGGTATTTATACATAACTCTTACCAAGCACTTTTTAAAAGAAAAAAAAACAATTAAAGTATGTTTCCAAACATAATTTCATCACCTTGACTTGTTTTCCTTATCACAATTTAACCTATTTTAGAAAAAAATTAAATTTTCGACCCCCCTTGATAATTTTTTTTTTTACCAATATAGTAAAAATGTCGTTAATTTACCTAGGTCAATAATATATTCTCGTTATATTTTATCTCTTAGTCTTGGAATAGGAATTATGTTTTATTACCTTTACAAATTTTATATTATTTAAAAGTTAAAAAGAATGACAGTTTATATTAAACTTTTTTTTTCTCAACATATACTTACTTGGCATGATCTGGAGAGACCCCTTGGAAGAAAACCCTAGTTTGGGTAGGGTTAACATTGGCATCAACCCATTTGGCCCATGTATTCAATGCTTTCTCATACGCAACCAATCGATCCATATCTCTAACTGTTCTATTCCCATCTTGAATGAAATCCCATCTGCAAAAATATGAAGAAAAAGGGATACAAAGTATTATAGATATTTTATATATATGAAGTGTGTGTGATGAAGAGTGAAACTATAACTTCTGGGGTTTTACATACGGTTGTTTTCTTCCTGTGTGAACCCACCAATGCCAAGAGTCAAATATCAACACATCTATTCCTTTCCACGTTTCCCCAGCTTCAATTGAATCTAGTTTTAGAACTCGACCAATCTTTTCACCAACAATGTCCACCAGGAATGCGTTGCGTGAGAACATCAACTTAACATTGTAGCTCTGCAAATTATGTGATAGTTTCAAGTTTAGACTGTCACTGACACAAGTTTCAAGTTTCAAATTAAAATATTTTTTGTTCAATCAAGATTAACTCTTTGCCAAGTACTGTTTGTAGACATGTTTTATGAGACAATGAGTTAACGCCTACTATAACAACCCAATTCGTTTCCTTCTTAATCTTCATATGTCGGTGTGTTTTCAACTATTATTTTGGTTCTTCTGTTATCTGTAGGGATAATTAACAAACATGTGATCACTGTTCAATGATGGATCCACGACACCAAAGCACTGCATCAATACTTTTAATTTTTTTCAACACCACCTTCCTTCTATAAATATTGCATTGCACCTATAAATTCCCTTACATGTGTTATGGAATCTATAATATCTTCTTGTGACTCATATACTCTAAGAGACCAGTTGTTAGAAAGCATTATTAATATACATGTTACATGATTGCATTGCAAGTATCATTAACAATACTCTATTTAATTTCAATATTATCCATGTATGAATGCATGCAATCCAAACAAAACTTTCTTTGGCAACTTATTATTTGGAGTCAAAATTGAAAGCACAACCACTTTTGCATTGCTAAAGTAATTGGTGTGATCGTGAAATTTATTAGAAACACAGGTGCCATTAATTCAATAATTGCTTAATATGAAAATTAATGTGAGATTTCAACAAATTTAATGTGAAAATTAAGAAAAATAAAAGGCATAAAGGGAGATCTAACCGGGAAGGTGAGAATGGAGACACCTTCATTCCTCACTATGTTGTATGGGGCATGTGGTAAAGCTGTGTGAAGCATGCAAGTGAGTGACTGCCATTGATTCAAACTCAAAGAGTCTCCCACAAACATGAGACTCTTCCCTTTCAGTCTCATTAAGAAATCTTCACCATTGAATCTGCAACATAACAAGGTTCATCAAAATTATGATAAGTGGGTCCAACACATCTTGCATAACTTTTCAAGTGGTTTTTTGTTTGGATTTAATCTAGAATGTGATCCTATTTGAGGACAAATTTGTCGAAAGCAACCTCACAACAGCATACTCTTAATTGAGGAAGTGTATGCTGATTTATGCACTAAATTTATGAGGTAGTTCAAATATATAAACCTAACAACTTTACCTAATTAGTTGATGACTTGAATGGAGATTTCAGAGGAAGAAATTATATAAAATAAACAGACAGAAGCAACATGTTGTCTTCTGTTGATTAAAGCATCACAAATCACAAACATAATCAAAGTTTTACAATAAGGTCACAGTTTCATTGCATTCATTATGAAATTGCTGCTACAGATGCAGTAACAAAAGTTTCAAAAACCTTAATGTGACTAAAAACATGGTCAAAGATATATTTTTCAAACCACAGATATAATTATTCCTTAATGGATCAAATGAGTAATGATGTAGAAGAAATATATATGAACAGTTTAATAAAAATTTACCTGTTTATATCGAATATCTAGAAAATAAAACTGCAAATCAATTTTACAGCTTAATAACACGACCCATTGGCTTTCTCAAAAAACCAGCCATCTAACTAGTTCAGCATTTTCCAAAACAGTGTTTGTTTGAATTAGAAAAATTTTAAACCAATCAAAATTTATAAATAAATGGTAGCAAAGAAATGATTGTGCCAAATATGAAGTTATATTTTAAACATAAAATGAATAAAGAGAGGGTGAGGAAATAAAAGTAGATACACTATTCTATAATCACAAACAAAACCTGACTGATGCAGATTACTTGTAAACGTGGTTTTCTACCACAATTTCACTGATGAGGTCTACATTGTCACAATAAACAAGTAAAACATCTTATCATGGTTCAAATATTTTTCCTTTTTAAAAAAAGTTGCTATATACTGTTTTTAGAGATAACAAAAGGGCCTTGAGGAATTACGAAATCTCCATCTGATTTTACATCTAATGTAATTGAGGCATTTCTGGTGTAATCTTGAATTTTTAATTTTTTTTTTTTTAGTTCATAAAGTCATTATTGACAAAGTTTCTTTACCCGTGCACTTATCAATTAGTTGTTGATAGGAACTATTCGTGGATTGCATCATAAAGTTCCAAAAGCAAAAGGATTTTCATTACTTCAAGAAAAAACACTAAGTTAAAGCTACTTCCTCTCTAGTTTTTAACTACGTGCAATCCATGATTAAAGTTTCCTTCTTAATCAGAAACGAATAATCTCTATACTTTGTGTATAAATCAGAGTTTTCACAATGAACAGTCAAGTTAAAAGAAAATAAAAACTGGGGAATTCTGTACAAGACAAATTTTCCAAACATTATCTGCATTTTTAGAGGGTGGATTATTAATAAAAAAAAACACCAATTTTATTAAAATTGATGCAATATTACTTGTGGAATTTAAACATGTTTAGTAAAACTTTGTGCAAACTTTACCTTGGTATTTTAATTAATAATTACTATTGTTTTATCTAGGTTTGAACCCTACCCCAGAAACAAATTACAGCTTAGTTGGGAATGGTCTTCTTCCATTTAAAAGTCAAAAAATTTAACAGAAAATTCAAAAGTAATTGAACGAGGAGTAATTTGTATTCATACACACCTTAATAAAATATGTATACACAATTACGATAAAAAGAGATGAAAACTAAAATAACATTAAAAAGTGTAAAAAATTAATTTCACACTACAATTAATTTATTCATATTAAATGATTTTATATCTTGCTATTTCTCTAATTTCGTATTTAGAAAAGCATTGATTAATTAGTTAATACTGAAATTAATTCTATTTATAACTCTCTTGCTCTTTAATTGCTAAATTTTTAGTAAATAAATAAAATAGTTTATAGAAAATATATACAATTTGAGAAATTTTAATTTAAAAATTTAAATAGTATTTAATATTACTATTATAATATATATTAATATCTTCCCTCCAGTTCTTAACATATAAGGCATTTATAATATAATTACACATGCCAATAAAAAAATGTTATTATTTTTTTCTAAACTAGTTTTATATTAAGAAACAAAGAAAGTATTTAGCATTCTCTCTCATCTTATGGCTCTAAATTATATATTATTAATATATATATATATATATATATATATATATATATATAATTTCAAAATAATTATTTTTATTAATATATTTAATAAAGAGAGATTCTAATTAAGATTTATTCATTTAATATATATATATATATATATATATATAATAGAACATTTAATAAAATAATTATTTATATATTTATAAAATACTGAATTAATAATAAATTTTGCTAAATCAATATCTATGCAATAAATATTATTAACAAAAAATATTTAATGTTCAGTTAAATGTAATTAGTCAATTGATTAGATTAAACGACTATAATAAAATCTATAATCCTATCATTGGCTGTAATATATGTTGAAGTTATATATATATATATATATATATATATATATATATATATATATATATATATATATATATATATTACTTCTTTTAATTCAATCCACGGCCAATAGGTAAATAATTAATTTTTAATCATATATTTTTTTTAATAAAAATATGTGGGAATAATTGGTTGAGATAAACACATTTTTGACAAAATAAATATATAATTTAAGTGTAGGAAGACAAGAAATATATGAATAAAGGTTGTCTAAAAATTGGGAAAAAAAAAGGATGAAAGGGAGTATAACATTTTTCCTTGACAACTTGTGACAGGTTGGAAATGTAAAAGGTGGAAAATTTGGCTTTTTCCGTTCCATAATCAATGTGGTTTTAATTTTATAAAACAGTTACAAATTTAACTTATGTATTTCAAAAGAAGCATTAATTAATTTATTTTATTTATTCTTCATTTTAGTTAAAGTAATGTATCTATTAAAAAATAAAATTATTTAAAATAAATGAGAGAGTTAGTATTGTTCATGTGGGAAAGAATCTCTGTGATGATTGTATATGCTGGATGAAGTATAATTGTATATCAAAGTCAACATAGCAGGAAAGAAGATAGACACACAGACACACAGAGAAAGAAGAATGAAGACATGTACCTGGTTAAATTGCACCCTGTTGGTTGCCATCTATACTTGAGATAGAACTTATCAGGTCTACCATTATTTCTACAATCAAATTGCTTCTCTATGAAAGGACACAGTGAACTTTCATAAAGAGGGTATGAATCATCATAGACCCAACTTCCTTGGAACAAATCACAACCATTCTCTGCAAAGCTTCTACCACTTCCATGTATCTGAAAGAGAAGGGCAAGAAACAGCACAACAGATATGGAGAAAGACCACCCCATGGGACTGGGACAATCAATGGTGATGACGATGAAAGGTGGAAGAAGAAAGTGTGGTTAAAGATGGTGCTGAGAAGAACTATTTATAAGCAGTACACAGGGTGGTGGTGTTTGGAATTTGAGTTTATTTGGCAATAGATGCAAAATGGTTGAGTTCGTACCTTCCAAACAAAAAAACAATCCAAATGTTTTAAAATCATAAAGGCATTAAACCGTTGAAAATATAGGTCTAAAGTTTAAGTTCAGGTTGAATTAAATTTAATAACATAATATTTTTTATAATAAAAAATTAAAATAATTACTATAATAATTATAATAAATTATTATGATATTCACTGTAAATTATAATATATATAATATCCCAATTAAATTCACACTTCTAATGTTAACAAATCATATATCACTTAGAAAAAACATATTCAAATAAAATTTCTATTAATTTATTTACATGCTATTTATATACAAAATTTTATTCTGAAAAATAAATTCTCTAATAAAAATAGTTATTTTTTTCTCTCTCTTTATTTATTCTTTTATTTTTCTCTCTCTTCATTTACTCCTTATTTTTATTTTTGTCTCTTACTATTCTCTCATTTTTCTCTCTTTTGTTCTTCTCACTTTTCTCATCCTGTCTTATTTTTTTACTTAAAAATAATATATTGAAATTTTATAACAACATATTACAATAATTTTTTTAAAAATCAACATTGAAAATAATAAAATATTTATTTTAATATATATTTTATTAAATATTTTTTTAATTATTTAATATGACTAATCATAATAACTAACTTAATTATAATTAACAAGATTAAATAATTAAATAAAAAATTAACAAATAAATATTAAATATTTTTTAATTAGATAAATAAATAATTAATTATGATAAAATAATTTTAAATGAAATACTCACTGTTGTCGTAAATAAATTCATTACCGTCATCATAATTTTAAGTAGTTAATTGATATCTCCTTTAGTTTTAATGTTAATTTAAATAAAAGGAAAACTAGAAAAAAAAAATAATAATAATAATAATAATAATAATAAATAATGAAAAGAGAAAATGATTGGCAGTAAATAGATCTAATTTCATAAATAAATTAATAGAAAGTATATTTAAATAATTTTTTTAATGTATAAGATTGATTAAAGTATCATATAAAAATAACTGCATTGATTTTATTAATAAAGTTATTATTTTTTAATAAAATTGACTAATTATAAGAAATTTAGATATTTTATAATAAAAAATTAAATTTCAAACATTATAATATGTCCATTTTTTTCTTATTTAAAAATTAATAATAAAACAACTTATCAGTTTCTTTATTTATGCATTTGTCTAATCTACTTATTTAATGCATTTATGCATTAAGTTTTATATGGAAGACATTGATCTCCAATTATTGGTGTTGGCGAGGATTCTTGAATCAAAAAATGCATCTCTTCTTTCTAGAGGTTACACTAGATAAGACTTAAGGTAATGTTGTGACGAGACTATAATGACCCTATAAATCGTTATTATAATGATATATTTGTAAAATAGTAAATAATAATATTTATATTACTTGTGATTGTAATATAGACTGAAATATCGGTTTATTGGTAGAATCTCAAAACATAGTAACATAATTTATTTATATAAATACATGCAAAAGTAGCTCCCACAAAGCTATCTCACTAAACTATCTCTGTTGTCTAGTAGTCACATCTCTACCACTCAACTCCGTGATCATCGCAATCTCATCCACATGAAAAAATAGGGGTAAATATTAAATCATTTCATATAATAAAACAGATATATAAGTAATAATTACATATTATCATCAATTACAAATCATTAATACACTAAGACGCCTTCTGGAAGTCTACCCTAACTATGTCCGAACTCATAGGCTATCATCTGTAGGCACATTGTGATCGGCACCCGCAGTACCATTCTGACCACCCTCCACACAGAGCAGGATTATTGGCGCCCTTCATCACTCATACTGGAGTAGCCTCTGAGCGCGCCACTAGTCATCCCCCATCGACTTCTCACCACCTGATCTCGTAGTCTACCTGACCCAACCAATCAGTGAAGTTTGGGACCTCATTCAGAATCCTCCGCCATAGTTATTATACTAATGTACTTTGTACCACCCCGGTTGCCGTTCAAACACAACAAAAATCATTCATATCTGCCTCATTCTGGACCACCTGTCCTCACGACACATTCGGGTAAATAATAGTATTTGACTTATTATGGACACCAACCCTCCGGCTCAGTCTAGCCAATACATAACATCTCATGACTGATTATGGGCATCAGCCCTTAGACTCAGTCTAACACACACACATCACAATACACTGCTGAATCTTTCTAATTTCATTCTATATTTTAATTATTTTTCTTAACATACCTTTACTTTATTTCTAAAATTCCAATTATACCTTTAAATATTTTCTATTATTCCTTTTTCATCCCGAAATTATTAAATTACTATTTTACCCTTAATCTTTTCTAAAAATTTCATGTATGTCCCTAAATGACTATTTTACCCATAGATATTTTTGAAAATTCCTTCCATATCCCGAAAATGACTATTTTACCCTTGGACATTTTCGAAAATTCCTTCTATGTCCCAAAAATGACTATTTTACCCTTGGACATTTTCGAAAATTCCTTCCATGTCCCGAAAATGACTATTTTACCCTTGGGCATTTTTGAAAATTCCTTCCATATCCCAAAAATGACTATTTTACCCTTAGGCATTTTTTAAAATTCCTTCCATGTCCCGAAAATGACTATTTTACCCTTGAACATTTTTTAAAATTCTATTTATGTCCCTAGGATGTAAAATGACTATTTTACCCTTGATCTCTTTTAAAAATCTCCACCATATCTCTTTCTTCTTCCTCCGCCCATTAGTCATGCCAGATTCTTCCAGATTTCTAATTTCTAAGTTTCAGGCAATCAAACTAGTTCTAAATCAAAATTAAACATAAAATATGTTCAATTTAAGTTAAAAACAACAATTTTTTCATATAATTCATCCTTAATTTCAAGAATTTCAAAACTTTCAAACCAGAAAAACCAGGAACAATCATCAAAATCATAAATTCTTCAAAATCAGACATTCAAATAATTCATATTTCTACTTTTATTCCTTATTCACAGAGTACCCAGCAATTCAGTTTCATATATTGAATGAATTAAACTTCCCCTTACTTTGTGTAGTATTTCTACCGAAGTTTTCCTACTTAATCCAAGTTCTCTTCCGTTTTACCATATCCTGCACGAATAGAGTCTAGTTGTTTGAAATGTAGACAAAAGAAGAAGAAGGATAAGAGGGAGAACTACTTCCTGAAATTTTCTGTCTCCTCCTCTTTTTTTGTATGTGCATATATAAAAGAAAATTTTTATGAAGAAAACTTCGTTACGAAGT